ATATAAATTAATATATATATAAAATATTAAAAAATTTTTAATTTCAAGCTGGAAAAAACACATAATTCTCTCTTCATAAGTTTTACGTACTATACAATCAACATGTTCCATCACGGAGCAATTTGTCTCATACATTACTCCATATTTACAGCTGTAATTTAAGTTGCACTTTAAGCATTCTCCACTCAATTCTACACAAGATATCCCGCTCGGACACAGACTAGCCATTTCCTCCTGCAATTTAATGATCGAATTTGTACTCTCAAATATTATAATGAGGTTATTAACATGGAGTTATTACTTAGATTTAACCCATAATAGGAACACATTTTTTTTTATGAAGAAATATTAAAAAGAAGCTAAAAGAATATAAGAAACTCTTGAAACTCGTAAAAGTTTTTTTTTATTAATTTGATTTTCTTTAAGAATTACTACACTTGAACTTAGCATGTAGTACAATAATTAGTCTACATGAATAGAACAAAACTGTGAAAAATAAGATGATAAAACATAAAATTATTTCAAATTGTTATATTATTTAAAAATTAAGAAAATATCCCAGAATCTCATCAAGATCTACTGTTCTAATAATGGATTAAAGAACTTACCTTTTTGCTGCTATAGGCTGGTGTTGAGTTTACATTAGCTTCTTTTAGAGCATAGCTAGTTGCAGTGCCTGCAACAATTGAATCAAATTATAAATGCATGTAAAAAAAGAATCAAATACTTCAATGTTTCAACATTAATACAAATAACTTTACCTTTAATACTGACATTTAGGTCTAATTTTTCATTTGCTGATTAACTTGTGATTAGGCTTAATCTAATGATAATGTAAAATTGTATTTTTCTGTCTTTAGTTAATCACTAAACTGATAGTTTTGTAGTGAATAACTTTGAAATTATTAATACAAAACTATTAATAATAGCTAGAAAAATTTTTTTATATTATATTATTATTAAGTGAGGTTAAGTCTAAACCACAAATTAACAGATAATAAAAAGTCAGATCTCACAAACAATTTCACGTAAACAAATTTTTCTTTGCCAGTTCCCAAATTAGTTGTTAGAGAGCAAATTCACTCACCGTAATCCATGCGAGCCTCCTGAACAGAGGTTGACAGGAGTGCCATGAAAAGGAATATCACATTCTTTGAATTAATCCGAACGACATTCATTCTGCGCGAGAATTCCTCTCACTAGTCGTCGGATGCTTGATTCGTGTATTCGATGTTTCAAGTCTCGACTTTATTATCCAGGTACGTAAAAGAGAAGCACGGCAACGTCTCGTCGAATATTATACACACCAATACACACTACATACACTTGGCGCCATTACATTGACATTAGACATCTTTCACACACGTTCGACAGCTGTAAGCAGCTCTAAGCTTTAATCCAGATGTGTCACAATTATTCGCCCTCATTGGTTAAATGCAAACTTTTTTAATTATTTTTTTTTCATTAGTATATAATAAAAAATATTTTATATTTATGTATTAGAAATGGTTTTTAAATGGTTGTTAAAATTTTATGTTAAATTTTTAACACATTTGAGTGTAATTTAATAAAGGCCTATTTTTTTTCCATAGTTCAGGATTGAATTTTTTGCATGATTCATCCTTTTTTTTCTTTTCACATTAGATAGAAAAAGATAAAAGATGATTATAAATATACAAAAAATTAAAGTAAATTAGAAACAGGCCTATAATATGGCTTTTATTTAAATTATTAATAAAATTATTTTATGTTAAATTAATATTCTACATTTAATATCAAAATAATACAAATCATAAATAAAAAACAAATAACAAAAATATAATGTTTTAAAACGTAAATTTTAAAATGAATGAATAAAACATATGTTAATTTAATATAAATATTAATTTTACTGAAAAAAATATGCTTCCACAGTTTGTTTACCAATTATGTCAGTATTACATATTTAATTTTTTTTACATATATTTGTATTAATTTCTAACATTTATTTATTAAGAACAATATTCGGCTATTTCATTGCAATCATTTTTTGTTATTTTTATTATTAATACATAGTAAACAAAATTTTACATTTATCTATAAGAATGACTTTTATGTAAATTAACACAAAAATTTAAATGGGTCCCGTTTGGGACTCGTGTAATATATTAAATAAATTTAACACAAAAAAATCTTTACACTAATAATTGAGGAGAAACAATATGGAGCAGCCAATCAGATTTCCTACGTCAATTTTTCACTCGATTTGATTCCTTCTCTCATCGCGTTTTCCACATTTTTTCCGATAATAATTCAAACCGGAATGTCGGAAACATTAACGATACTGAGTGTACCAAAAATGCACGCTGCGTCACGCGATTGAAACCGACAATATATACTCAGTACATGCATGATGTAATACATGAATACGTGTTTTGTCATAATTTTGACGAGAGGTCATCTTCAAGGCAATTGTGTCCGCAAATACAAAGAAAAAAACAGAAGATATAACGAGTAAAAAACAAAAGACGGCATAAGCGATGCGATGCAATGTGATGGAGTCTCGCGTGTATGCTCGTTTCCAACAATCAGCTGACTTCCGGTACCACTGTGAGACGTTGTTAGAATGTTAGCGAGGTGTTTCGGCAGTTTCGCCTGACGGAAGAGTGTCCCTTTTTTTTTCGCGAGACAAAACGCGCGCAAGACATAGTTTCCCTTTCGCGGGATCGCGCAAGTCCTTTTCTGCATTCGGCAGTTCCGGCCGGAACGAAGCGATGTGATCTCCGCCTAACCGCATAATAGAATCGCATCTTTCGAAGATCGAATTCTCTGTGTCGTTACCCGATCTCTAACGGGTGATCTCGTGTCGCAGCACATGGTAAGCGGAATTCCGCGATAACAATCGTCAAATAAGTGAGGAATCTGATTTTTTCTTGTCGAGGAAAAATATCCTCTAGGATCCTTGTTATATCCTTGTTACATATGTATTTTGGTCTGTAGGATGCCGTGTAATACTATCGCTGCCAGTTTCGTCATTAATATGAATCCAGAGGGGAATGATGGGAACAACCAGGGTAAAGCAGAGGTCAGATTGGACGTCGGTCTGAAAAATGACAATCAGTCTGTGGACCAAGATGCTAGAACATCTAAGGTACAGCTAGAAAACGGAGCTGAGGAACAGTTGAGGCTGAATAACAACAGCGGCGAGAGTAATATTAAGCTCGTGCTGCCATCCAAAACCTCCGTTGTGCTTTCCAATGGGACAAACTCCATACAAACCCCTGTGTCTGATAGTGCCAATTTTTTGGAGCAGAACGTTTGTCAAGATGCGAACATATCTTCCATATTTACAAACGCGACCGCCAGTATCAAGTCTCAGACTGTAAACACCAATACTGTTAATTGTCAATTGAAGCATAAGACTGTCATGAATGCAAGCTCGTTGAATCTGCCTAAACCCCAGATGCACTTGAATCTATCTTCCACTCAAGCAAATATACACCACAATCATAATTTAGGGCCAGCAGTTCTTAATTCTACTGCAACTACCAGTGCTATGTTACATTCAAGTGTATCTACGTTAAATGTATCAGTAATACCTCCTAATTTATCAATGATTAAATCAAACGATGACATGGATATGAAGAATAATGTGGATTATGCATCTGCCATAGAGAAATGTCCTTCTAAGGTTTCTTGCAGTTCAGATTCTAGTCCAGAAGCAGACTGTTGCTGGACATCAAAATCTTATGGATCTAAACGTGTATTAAATAATATAGGTGGTAGTATAGGTTCAACGAGTCAAGGAACTTGCTCTTTTTTGAGACCTAATATCAATGGCAGTAGAGAAATTGCTGGACCCAGTGGATTGCAGAGAGTATGTTTTCACATATCGATTCTTCTATTGAATGTTTATACTTTTCACAGAATTTAGAGTTTTCTTGCTTTTTTAGACTTCACAAAGAGAACAGATAGAACGGATGGATTCTAGTTCTGGAAATGAAGGAGATATGTCTGATGGAGAAGACTATTGTTTCTATACTTATAAGGGAAACAATGATGTGATTCCTTTAGATCAACAAGAAGAATTGAATCAGGATCATGCAGCAAATCAAGAAGCAGAAGGACAGAACCATAGTGGTAGGTCGAGTCCAGAGATGGATTACTTGGAAATGGATTTTGATCCTGGACCTTCTTGCGAACAGGTAAAATATTTGCTGTATTATGAAATCGAGTCGGATTATAATATTTCTTCTGCCCTCAAAGGATACTGGAGATAGTGATTTGGCCTCCATAAATGAAGATATACAAAATATAGCATTAGATAATGTAGAACAAGACCCAGTGCTAAATGATCTAAGTAGTGGAAAAGTCGTGTCTAGACAGGGATTGGTATTAATGCCGCATACTTTAAAACAAACTACACAGCATGTTAATCATACTACTTTCCAACAATGCACAAGTAATCAATGTACAGTAGAACAAAGTGCAAAGTCGACTTATTCAGCTCCATGGATGCCTAGTACTAGTGCTGGAACTGGTAATTTCACGACTATGACTACTCTAACAATTCAAGTTCTAGTCTTATCATTATACAAGATATTTCACATTATATGAAATTTACAGGAAGATGGGATAGTGCGACACTTTATCGTAATACAGGTTGTCCAGTACGTGAATCATACGGTTATCATAACACAAGTGGTGATCTTATATCGCCTGGTGATAATAGAGATTCGGATTCCGAATTATGGGTTGAGTCTTCAACAGCATCTCTGCCGGACAATTCCAATTTAAATGCCAGGAAGGTTAATCTCATTTCTACGCTTTATCATCGAATAATGGCTAAGAAACTAATGCTCAATAAGCATGCTGCCTTTAATCAAAGTGGTGATTCCAATCTGGTTAATATATTTACTATTAAACAGATTTAAATCATGTTGAACAAACTATGTCTTATTAAATTTTAAACAACATTTGAACAGGAAAATGAATTATGTAACGAACGATTAGATGGATTACCACCAGTTGAAAAAGTAATGCTGTGGAGCGAGCAAGAAGCCACGATGAAGCAAGTTACGCAAATTGGTACCTCCGCCTGTGGTGCTACATCCGCAATTAATGCTTTGGTAATATTCAAGTAGATAGTGTGCAATCCTCTTAATGCTGCAAATGCTTTAAAATATTTGATTAATTAGAAAAAAAAGAATTTTACTAATTGATAAACTAAAAAATACTTCAAATTGTAACATCAAGTGGATCATAGCCATAAATATATAACTTGCAAATTTTTGCAGTAGTTTAGATCGAATCTGTATAAATCATCTATTTTTAGTTGGCCTTAAATGTATCATTTTCGCTGGAAGTATTAGTTAAAGGTGTAAATACGAAATTGAGGGAACTGGGTGTATCGCTACCAAGGTATCTTGTTAGTCGTTCAGTAGCAGGAGCAACTCATAAAGACATAGCACGAGGGATCACTCTGTCCACACATGGTGCAGTTGTAACAAAATTTTTTGCATTTTATCCCGAAAGAAAGGTTTCATTATCTCATTGGTTGCATTATTGGATTTCCAGAGGTGAGAAATTAAAGAATGAATTGTGTTATTCTTTAAACAGGTATAATTAAGTGAAAATATATATTATCGAAATGTATAAATGTAAGTGTAAAATATTATATTTTCACATTTTAGGTGCAGCACCAATCGCGACATTGAATTTACAACATTGCGGAGAAGGTTGCGATATACCGGACGCATGGCATCATCAAATGATATTCGGTGTAGGACAAGCTGGTATATACTTAACAAACCCTTTAGAATGTTTGCCTGAACAGGTTTGTATGATCGATATTAATAATACAAAATTAATAATACAAATTATTACCTGAATATAATTATTATGGACTAATTTAATCATAACTCTTTATTTTTGTGATTTTTAGCTCGTATGGCATCAATTAGTTAGTCCTAGTATTTTATTAATAAGAAAAACAGACATTCTAGCACATTGGAATGAAAATACAGATCTAACGCCGCTTGCGACGATGGATCAAAAGTGGCGAAAACTTAATGTTCTTGGTATGTTATATCTAATATATATATATGTATATATATTTTTTAAGTAGTTTTTTAGTTACAATAATTAAGTTGTAATTTTAATAAAACATATATTTGATACAGGACAAGTTGTAAATATGATACGAGAATCAATGAGCCAAAGGCAACAACCTAATAGCACGACTACTGGTGCGACTCACATTCGCATTCCGGCATCTTACCAAGCAGGCATTACGTTGGTCATGTGTGCTAATTCCGCCGCAGCCACCGAATTGTTACATGCAGAACAACTACCATTGCTCTAGTCTCGTCGATCAAAAATTAACAAATCGGACTGGTCCACTTGGTTTATAACAAATTTTATTAGCAAGCCAGCCCATACTCAATGTTCTTACTAATAGTTCATTTATTATTTAAACCAACAGGATGGATAATTTACATTTTTGACATCAAACGCGTTTGTATTCAAAAAGAATATTGATTAAAATATATTTCAATAGAATATTTCTGTTTTATACATAGTAATATTCAATTATTAAACTACAGAGATATAATATACTTTATAGTATATAGCTTGTAGTCAAAAATAAGCTTACCTTGACAATGTTCATTATAGATATTATTTCTATGAACAGAATACGAGATAAGTGATATAAGTAATTTGATTTTCCATGCTTAATTTTTTTCATTTATATTTATTGGTTTTTTTCTTTAAGAATGTATGTCAGTGATTGCAAGTTTATCTTACAAGTATATCCTGTTAATCAAATGTGTGAACAAAAACGAACATTGTATTTTGTATAAATTTTAATATAGAGTATCTTATTACACGTATTATCTTATGTCGGAATCACGAAGAAATGTTTGTCATAGATATGTTGACGAAAGAAACATTGTGCTGATAAAGCCATAAATATTTTATGTACACATAGATAATGTATAGTCCAACATACTTTTTCCAGTATTTTAAAGAGGTCCTTTCTTTTATAAATCCGACATACTAAAACAATAAGAATTCTTGTTATACAAGGAATTGTTAATATAATCATATGCTATATCTGTTTTCTTTTTAGTCTTACCTTTCTATAAAAGGTGCACGCATACTCGATGTAATAGGAGCGGGATTAGCTTCGTTAAGCTTGAAAACGCTCTCGATACGGGCGATTTCTGTCGAAGTTGTGTCCATGCCACAAAAAGCAGCCCAATCATTTACGACCATACCGGCAGCGATTACATTGCTGCCTCTGTTCACTGTTCCGGTCTAAAATACAATTATCATTTATAAAAATAGAAAATCATAGAATCTTTGTTTGTCTTACCGCAAGTGGCACTTGCAGAAGAGAAGACAACTCGTCTTGCTCTTGAATAGGCATATTCGGATGCACCAAACCACCTTGATTGGATAAAATAGAATACGAACCAACAAGAACATTACTTGCAATAGTTTGTCTAAATACTTCCACATTCAGAGTATCAGCTAAAATTTCTTCAGTTTCCTTCAATTAAAAAAAAAATTAGAGCCATTAAAATAGTATGACTTCAGTTACAAATTTCTTAATCCAATATAATAGGAGATGCATAAAAAATTTACCTTATCCAAATCTGGATGAACTAAGGCAACATAATCATTACATGCTATAACATTGCCTAGAGCAGAGAGTCTCTCTTCCACTCTCTGTACCTTTACATTATCTGGTAAAGAATTCCGAATGTGTTGTAGTTCTGTATCTGTTGTTGTATTTGGTACTAATAATCCATTCTTGTTCGCTGTATTGTAAAGATAAATATTTGTGAGTAATATATATATATATATATATATATTGCTAAATACAGACACACACAGATAACATAGGTAAGAAAAAATTATGACTTTTAAAAACATTCAATTTTTTAGATTAACTTTTTTCTAAGAAGAAATAAGTACATACAGAGTTGGCTTCTTTCACTACGTTGTTAAAAATATTATAAATAAAAAGTATTTAAATTGACTAGAATAGTAACAAACTATACATAAGAAATTTTTTTTTAATCATTATACTATTTTAATTGTTACATATTGCCTAATTATTTAGGTAATATATAATTTTTATGTATATATATTCATTAGATAATAAGTAGACAATGACTAAAAAAAATTTTAAGATTTTTAAGAAAGTTTTTTATGTATTATCTGATGTTTCGATTTGTTTTTGTGCCATACTATTGATAAGTTCTACAATGACTACTAAAAATCTATAGTTCATGTTACATATACTATAGATTTTCAATATTATCAATATACTTCAGAATGTATCCTAATATTTATTATTCAATTAAAGACTCTTAACTTATTGTCACTTCGATAAATGTTATTTTAATATATTTACCAACACACAGTCGACCTATGATACGGCATCCTGCTACTGATGCGTGAATAACTGGAATTGTCTCAGCTAATTCTGCCTCAAATACGCTGTAATTACATCAATAATGAACCATAGAATAATTATAGTTCAATCATATCAAAATTAAATGATAGATTATTGCAAAATAGTAACGTTACGTTTACATTTTGTATTATATATTATATCTTTTTATATTATAGTGTACATTCTAAAGCATGTTATATTGTATATATACTAAAATTTAATGCTTATCATTTCATTTTATCTTGCTTAATAATGTATAATTATATACTATTTTGACACATTTTTGAGGTTATAATGTAAAAATAGGCATCCTGATAATATCATCCTAAATATTGTCGCTTTTATTAACAAACATAATTAATTAATTAAAAGATCAATTGCCAATGCAAATTTCGTGCGATTGCATTATGGGTGACGTCATACTTACCTATAAAAGTTTTCAGAGCCGCCGATCGCAACCAAACAGTAGGAGTTCGTCAACTTGGAGAAGACGCCGATCTCATTGTTGTTCTCGAATTGCACGCGCACCGCCATGACTGTGAAAACGTTGCAAGCTTTTACATCGGCGTTCTTAGATCGAAATATCGTGCGAATGCTCTTAGTGTTCGTACAGATTAAGCTCGTGCGCGAACGCTAACCTCGAAAATTTGGCAAGTGCCGTTCGCGGGCACGCTAACACGAGGTATTTGATTTCATCATGGAACACGAGATGGTGACACTCGCGGCACGCTATCTAAAGTCCCTAGAAATTATGGCAGGTATTCGTTCACCTTTTTATAAGATGGCGGACTCAATTAAAATTACTACAAAAGTTAGGCAAATTCAAATAGCAGAAATATATATATCTAGAAATATATTTTATAATATATATATATATTAATAAATAACAAAATAATTTTTTAA